AAGAGGAGTGGGGGTGGGGGCTGGAGCGCTCTCTCCGCTCCAGCTGGTTTCTCACACTGGTTGCACCTCCTAGCTTGGCTAATGCAGATGGGGGAGGGAGGGACACTCAATTTTCAATTTCAATTTAATTACACAGTCTATAGTGCCTAGTGGGAAGGATTTAGGGACAAGATTAACGCTCAACAGGGCTCTATTTTACATTCCATTTGATAAAGAGCGCTGTATTGATTATCCAAAGTGAGCTTTCAAAAATGTTTCTTAGGAACCAAATTCTTTTGGTGGGAGATGATTTAAAGAAGGGAGGGGGGAGTAACTTCATTGCTTGGCTCTTTGCCAAAATGTAGGTCAGTTGAAGGTACAAGATGGCTCTTGGAGTTGTGTTGCCAGAGCACCACTCAGAGTGAGCAGTACCCCCTCCTTGAAAGAACAAAGACTAGAAATTCCACCGCTGAATGGGAAACACCAGGGGGCAGACGCCGATTGGCTACCACAGCTACTGGTTCTGAAAATGACTGTTGTTAACTAACACACTAGTAAAACCCTTCCCTCTTAGGTTAAAGTCTAAAGAATTTCACTCTCTTATCAGGACTGGAAACCATTCTGATTTTATCTGGCATCAAATCAATGCTTAAGATGATGAGTAAATATTTGGTGTTCTACTTTGGTGTCTATCAGTCCACTAGTTCAGCCAAATGTAAAAAGAAGGCAAATACAGGAAATGAAAATAAGTTCCTAAGAAGTGGCCTCAATATATTTCTTGACCAACGGCTTTAACTTGTTAAGAAAACAGGTCCATGGAAAATATTATGCTAAGTGAAATAAGCCCAACTGAGAAAGACAAATATCACATGATCTCACTTATTTGTGGAATCTAATGACCAAAATGAATCCACCAAAAAAATAAAACCCAAAGCAGGGAGGCATGGAGCAGACTGACATACCTTGGTTTTCGTGGGGTTGGGGGGATGAGAAGAGATAAACCAAAGAGCTTAGATACTTACAGGCATAGCCCATGGGCACGGGCAATAGGGTAGTGAAGACCTGGGGGGTGGGTAGGGGCTGGGAGGAGGGGAGAAAGGGGTGGGGATGGGAGATATCTGTAATACTCTCAACAATAAAAACTATATTTAAAACAAAAAACAGGTCCACTGCAGACACCATCTTCCTTGGATGGAGTCTTCCCTCCACATGGCATCGGCCTGGGGAATGCAATAGCCCTGCCCTCTGGACCCCCTGTGGCCCCGCCCTGCAGAGCTTGGGCCTGAGGAAAAGTCAGCTGCCTGGGCCAGGGAGTAGAGGTCTGGGCAGACTCAGGGGGTGTCAGTGCCTGAGTTGTGTGGCTTTGGGGAAGGGGCCATTTCCCCACTTACCCGTGACCCTGACTGGCACCTCCCCCTCATGGGAGATAAACTATCCCCACTCTCCAAGCTCCTAGTGGCCCTCCAAGCTCCTAGTTTGGCCTGTTTGGGCTGCCAAACTCTGCTGGCCTCGCCCTGACGACTCCCTGAGGCCCCACCACACCACATGGTGTGTGAGCACCCAGTGGGTGGCAGCTAGACTTGCTATACCCTGAGACATTTGATCAAACCTAGCACCATTTATGACAAACACTCTCAGCAAGGTGGGAATAGAGGGAACATACTTCAATTAATAAAGGCCATATATGACAAACCCACAGCCAACGTCATACTCAATGGGCAAACACTAAAAGCATTTTCCTTAAGATCAGGATCAAGACAGGATGTCTGATTTCACCACTCTCATTCAACATAGTACTAGAAGTCCTAGCCACAGCAGTCGGACAAGAAGAAATTAAAGGCATCCAAATAGGAAAGGAAGAAGTAAAACTGTCATTATTTGCATTTTTATATCCCAATAATGAACTACCAGAATGGGAAACTAAGAAAACAATCCCATTTAGAAGTGCTTACAAAATAAAGCCATACCTAGAAATAAATTTAACCAAGGGTATAAAAGACCTGTACTCTAATAATTATAAGACACTAATGAAAGAAATTGAAAAAGATACAAATAAGTGGAAGCATATACCATGCTCATGGATAAGAAGAATTAACATCTTTAAAATGTCCATATTACCCAAAGCAATCTATAGATTCAACGCAATTCCTTTCAAGATACCAATGGTGTCATTCACAAAATTAGAACAAGTATTCCAAAAATTTACATGGAACCACAAAAGACCCCAAATAGCCACAGCAATCTTAAAAAAGAAGAACTAAAGTTAGAGGAATCATGCTACCTCATATCAAACTATAATACAAGTCTATAGTAATCAAAACATCATGGTACTGGCATTTAAACAGACATAAATAAATGGAACAGAATAGAGTACAGAAATAAACCCACACATTTACAGGCAATTAATATTTGACAAAGAAAGCAAAAACATACAAGGGGTAAAGGCAGTTTATTCAATAAATGGTGTTAGGAAAAATGGAAAGATGCGTGCAAAAAAAAAAATGAAACTAGACCACCTTCTTACACCACACACAAGAATAAACTCAAAATGCATTAAAGACTTAAATGTTAGACTTGAAACCATAAAAACCCTGGAAGAAAACAAAGGCGTTTCTTGCAGCACTATTTTTGTGTGATATATCTCCTTGGGCAAGGGAAATAACAACAAAAAATAAACAAATGGGACTACGTCAAAATAAAATGTTTTTACACAGCAAAATGAACCATCAATAAAATGAAAAGATAACCCGCTGAATGGGAGAACATATTTGTCAATGATACATCTGATAAGAGATTAATACTGCAAATTTGAAAGACCCTATAAAACTCAACACCAAAAAACCAAATAATCCAATTAATAACTGGGCAAAGGACTTGAATAGACACTTCTTCACAGAGGACATACAGATGGCCAATCGACAGATGAAAAGGTGCTCAACGTCACTAATCATCAGAGAGATGCAAATTAAAACCACCGCACACCTGTCAGGATGGCTACCATCAACAAATCAAACGACAAGTGCTAGTGAGGATGTGGAAAAAAGGGAACCCTCCTGCACTGCTGGTGGGAATGCAGACTGGTGCAGCCACTGTAGAAAACAGTATGGAGTTTCCTCAAAAAGTTAAAAATGGAACTCCCATTTGACCTAGTGATCCCTCTTCTAGGAATATATCTGAAGAAACCCAAAACACTAATTTTAAAGGATATCATCATTATTTACAATCGCCAAGATTGGGAAGCAGCCCAAGTGTCCATCAGATGAGTGGATAAAAAATCTGTGGTACATCTACACCATGGAATACTATGCAGCTATAAAAAATAAGGAAATCTTACCCTTCATGACAGCATGGAGGGACCTGGAGAGCATTATGTTAAGTGAAATAAGCCCATCAGAGAAAGACAAGGACCATGTGATTTCACCTGTATGTGGAATCTAATGAATAAAATAAACTAAAAACACAATAGAAACAGATTCTTAGATACAGAGAACTGACTGACAGCTATCCAAGGGGAGGAGGGCTTGGGGACCAGGTGGAAAAGGTGAAGGGTTTAAGTAAACAAAAAAGAACTCCTAGGCACAGACAACAGTATGGTGATTACCAGCGAGAAAAGGGGGTGGAGGGAGGTACAAGAGGGTAAAGAGGGGGTAAATGGTGATGGAAGGAGAGTTGACTTGGGGTGGTGGACACAAAGTACAGTATACAGATGATGCGTTATAGAATTGTACACCTGAAACCTCTATAATTCTCTTGACCAGTGTCACTCCAAGAAATTCAGTTAATAAAAGAATAAAAGAAGTCTTAAGGACTTCTCTTTATAAGGACTTAAATAAACAAAAATGGTAGCAATAACCTTCACTGTTGTTCAGCCTTACCAGCCACTTGAGCACATACAAATATTTGGAAACACAATGCTAAAGAGACGAAGCTCAAAGGCAAATGGACTTTCTGAACTCGCTAACTGATTTGTCATTGCACAACGACGGCATTTCCAAGTATGAAGTTGGCTGCGACTTCGAGTCAACATCTACCTTTATATTCAAAGGCAAAGTGATACCCTAAGCACTCGGCTGCGCCTCCTGAGTCTGCAGTACCTGAGCCAAACGAGCCGACAGTGTTTAAAGCTCCATGCGTTCAGGGCGCCTGGCGCAGCTCAGTTAAAGCGGAACTAAGCTGGGGTGCAATGGCGGTGGGGACACGGATGGGACTCATTTTGAAGCCCCCGAGGAGGAGACTGTGCCTGGTGAAAGGGTAGACGTATCCTCTTCTCCTCGACAAGAGTGGGTGATAGGTGAGGCCAGAGGGAACAGCACCCACAGGCCCAGAGATTCCAGGCTGTGAGTGACCCCTGAGCACGTCTGCCCCAGGCCCAGGCCTGTCCCCAGGCTACGGCCCAGGTGGGTGGGGAGGGACTGCGCTGGGCTGGCCGGGAAGAGGCAGGGGCGGGCAGGGCAGTGTCTGGTGTACACGTGAGTGTCTCAAGCCCCTTCCATGGCCATACACAGTGACTCCTTCTTCCAGGAAATGTAACACAGAAATTAGTAAAAAGCCTGTCTGAGAAAACAGGGACCAGGGACGCGCACAGGAGGACAGGGGCCACCTTGGGCCGCAACCAAAGCCCAGCACCGAGTCAGCCGGTACCTTTCCGCCCGGGGCTCAGCGCTCCACTGGCTGGGCATGGAAACCTGGGAAGATCACAGAGCGCCACCTCAGTCAGGAGAGAAGTAGATAAAAGTATCTATTGCAGCGGCCGGTACCCATGCCCCGGTCAGGACGTGCCCGGGTGGCACATCAGCAGGCTGAGGCCCTGTCCACCGGGCCCCTCCTGGGGAGACGCGTGGAGGGGAGTGAGGCGGTGAGAGGCGAGGAAAGCACATGGCAGCCCAGGGGGCCAATGGCACCCACTGCACATGTCCTCGGGCCACAACACACACGCTGCTCACTCCCAACACCCAGCAACGCCTTTGGTATTTGAAAGTACTTACAAGGGCTTCGTCATTAACATGGAAAGCAGGGGTCCTCATACTACGGCCCGCGGGCCACATGCAAATACAAATATTGTATTTGTTCCCGTTTTGTTTTTTTACTTCAAAATAAGATATGTGCCGTGTGCATAGGAATTTGTTCATAGTTTTTTTTTAAACTATAGTCCGGCCCTCCAACGGTCTGAGGGACAGTGAACTGGCCCCCTGTTGAAAAAGTTTGAGGACCCCTGATGTAAAGCAAAACCGTACACGGCAGTTTAGGAGGGGGGAGGAGTACCTGCTCGGTGACGTGCTCCCGGGCGTCTCCTCCAGTCACTGAAAGAGAAGGAAACAGAAAGTCACCATCAGGTGCCCACGTGCCTACAAGGCAGCCCTGGTTTTGCTCTGTTCTCACCCAAAACTCCAACAGCAGCCTGGGCGCTCTGAGCAAGGACTGGTGTCATATTGTGAACATGTGCCATCGCTCCCATAGTTGGAATGGGGGGAAAACAAAGGCGAAACGAAAGTCCACCGCGTTAGGCTGAGATGTAAGATCACAGAGGGCGGAACGGGGGCCGGGAGGGGCGACACCACAGGAACGCACCACACGCTGGCGGAGAAACGGCGAGGAGATGAAAGGGACCAAGGAAAAGTCCGACAGGGCCCAGGCCCAGTACCCAAACAGAGACACCCTTTCAGGTGTGACACGGGCGCTCAGCAACCCGAGGGCCAGACGAGGGGCCGTAAAGGTCAGGTGGCAGACACGCTACTTTTCAAAGCTGCTGTGTTGCCGGTGACGATGGTACAGATGCTGCTACGTGTTGTTGCTGCAGTATCGCTGGTGACCCACTAAAGTCCAAGCCAGCAGCTCTGTACATGGAGTCCTGGCCAGGACAGAGGGGACTAAATAATAAAGACTCTAAGGTAATAGGCCCCAGTTTTTGTGAAATAGCCTGAAAGTGACCGATGCCATGTATGTCTTAAATGAGAGGAAAAGAACCCTTAGAAATCACAGATGAGCAGCCAGCCACCGGCAGGAAGGGAAGAAGTCATTTTGAGGCATTGCAGCTATTTCTTGCTTGTGAACATCTTGGTGCGAGATACACTTTTTAAAAAAACTTTATTATTTTATTGATTTTAGCGAGAGAGGAAGGGAGATGGAGAGAGAGAGATAGAAACATCAATAATGAGAGAGAAACCTCTATCGGCTGCCTCTGGCATGGCCCCCTACTGGGGTCGAGCCCACAAACCCGGCATGTGCCCGGCCCAGGAATCGAACCAGTGACCTCTTGGTTCATGGGTCGACGCTCCACCACTGAGCCACACCGGCCGGGCTGAGATACACTTTTTAAACTTGTCCTTTTAAAACTTTAGTGAAGATGATGGTGCAGTCACATGCGGGTGTAAGAAATAATACAGATGGGTCCTGTCTGTGTGCCCCTGACACCGCACCCCCCCCTCTACGCCCCCCACCCAGGGGTGCAGTCTGAATGATTGACAGCACAGGGTCGTAGCCTGGATATGACCCTGGCCAGGCAAGGCTAGGAGCTTGTCCATCACAGCACCCCCCATGGTGCCCTTTATAGCCCCGCCCGCCTCCCGCCCACCACACAGGCTAAGCCAGCGGCTCTGGCTCTGCTCCCAGCGCAAGAAGGGGTTCATGGGCTGAAAGTCATTACAGGGTCTCATTGCGCCTGGCTGGCTCCGGATGGCTTCTGCCTCTCACCAAATGCCCTCTTGGTGCTAGCAGCCCTTCTTGCATTCGTCCCCAGCTGATCTTAAAGCATCCTGGCGACAGGGACTGTGCCCGAGGTCTTTCTTCCCCCCGGTTATATCCAACCTCTGTAGGAACCAGGCCTGTGTGAGGAACACAAACAGTGCTCAAAGCTGCGGGAACGGAAGCGCAGGACTGGGAGTTAATGCCAGAGAACCTGTAACATCATGTTTTACACTTTTCCCGAAGACCAGCAATATTCTAATTGTCCTGTTAGTAGGAATTTATCCAAATTTCCACTATTTTCTTTCTTTAAACAACTATTTACTAAAACAAAGTTTCTTAGCATAGCTATAGCACACATATAGGCTTCTTCTTCTTCTTTTTTTTTTTTTTTTGGTTAGTCCTCATCCGAGGATACTTTTCCATTGATTTTTTTTTTTTTTATAGACAGAGTGGAGAGGAGGGAGAAAGGAGGAGAGGGAAAGAGAGAGAGAGAGACTTTTTTTTTTTTTTATAGACAGAGTGGAGAGGAGGGAGGAAGGAGGAGAGGGAAAGAGAGAGAGACAGAACATCGATATGAGACACATCAATTGGTTGCCTCCCACATGTGCCCTGACTGGGGCCAGGGAGGGAACCCACAACCCAGGTACGTGCCCTTGACCGAGAATCGAACCCAAGACCCTTTGATGCGAGGGCCCATGCTCTAACCGCTGACCCACACAGCAAGGGCCCTATAGGGTCTTTTTCATCGCATTACACGGTACGTGCGATTAGGGTCGGGTGGTGGCCGCTGGGCAGCAAGGGCAGGCGTAACCTGAGCACGCCAGCTCCAAGCAGGGGCCCAGGGAGCAAACCCGGGCTAGGACTTGGGACCACAAGACCAGCTGGATACAGGTTTTTTGGGAAAAGGTCAGAGGGCGTCCAGGATTCGTGGCGTCTGACCACATCAAGAAGAGGCGGTGGCTGTTGGGGATGGAAGTGGCAGGGACTCTAACTGTGTTTGGAGGGACTTAGGTACCAGGTCGCATACAACTCAGGGACAGGGTAGGAGCCGTGCTGGGGGACTGAGGGTGGGCAGGGGCTGATGGAGAAGGGACAGGCCCTCCACCCCCTCATTACTGAGGCCAGGGCACTGGTTGAGAATCAGGGGGGCGCGGAGCCAGACAGACCATTGCTGTGAGTTATAGCGATTTAAACGTGAGAAACATCATCTCCTCCCTTGAGCTCTGAACATTCATAAATTAAAACACATCCTCATAGAATTGCTTGTGGCCCTGTCGTGATGGTTGCTGCTAATGACCCTTTTCCCGCTTGCTCATGGGAGTCCTAGCTGGTGCAGAGGTACGTGTTCCCTGGCCGCTGCCAGAAAAAGGAGGGAATCCCACTTAAAACCTAAGTCATCCCCACATTTATTCCAATCGCCTGTGAAAAGGAGGAATGGCAGTTAGGGGATGAAGCTGAACGGCATGAGCCACGGCTAATAAAAGATTAAGGAGTCTGCGGCTTAGCATCTTCTAATTATTTTCTCCAGCATCTCGCCTAGACGAGGTTTGAAATCTCTGGTTGGATCAACGCGATTTCGCTCAGAGGTTTGTGGACTTTGCATACTGATTCCTTCCTGTTTCCAAGCGCATTTGCTGCGAGGCTATTTTTACTCACTTTAAAGGAATTTTAATAACTTTCTGTTGACAGCACGGACAGCTGGTCTTGAGAATTAAAGAAAACTGACTCGCTGACTGAGGAAGGAAGTGACATCAATGAGCTGCTGGAGTCAGCCGCAGGGGACTGGCTTGTGAGGAGTAGCCTCGCACTGCAGTGCATTTGGGGGGAGCTGCCTTGAGATGCAAATCGCTGTATCCATCAAACCCGCGATGCCTACTCCAACCAACTTAGTGCCATGGAGGCAACAGGCTGCCGCACTGAGGAGGCCTACTCCAACCAACTTAGTGCCATGGAGGCAACAGGCCGCCACACTGAGGAGGAGGAGGAGGAGGAGGAGAAGGAGGAGGAGAAGGAGAAGGAGGAGGAGGAGAGAGCGCAGGAGCCCTGTCTGTGCCGACCCCATTCTCTTCAGGCCTCAGTTTCTTTGTCCAGAAAATGAGTTTGATGTAAACTGCTGGTTGGAATCAGTCTCTTTCTATGACAGACAGTGAATAAGAACATGTACTAGTATGTATAGTGCAGACATGCTACCCGCCAGTTTAACCCAAAGAGTGCTCCCAACTGCTTTTTAACCCCACGGAGAGCGATCCGGAACAGGCGTCATAGATAAGCTACTCCCATGATATCTCAATATTTTAAAAATTGGTAGTCATAGTAGCCCAGCCAGTGTGGCTCAATGGCTGAGCGTCGGCCTATGAACCAGGAGGTCACGGTTCGATTTCAGTCAAGGGCACATGCCCGGGTTGCAGGCTCGCTCCCCAGTGTGGGGTGTGCAGGAGGCAGCCAATCAATGATTCTCTCTCATCATTGATGTTTTTCTCTCTCTCTTCCTCTCTGAAATCAATAAAAAAATATAAAAAGTTGGTAGTCACTGTTTATAACTCTACTGCAGAGAAAGGTCAGGTGCCAAATCCGCACTTTAAATACCAACAGTAGTATAATAGCAGTGACCACTGCCGTCACAATGAATGACTTCATTCTTCATCATTTTCGCCTGGAGCTGCAGTTACTCATTTTTCAAAGACAGCTGTAGCTCAAGTGCATTGAGTGTGTATGTGTGTGGGTTGTGTGTTGTGAGCATGCATGTATGTGTGGATGCACACGCACCTGTGCAAAGACAGGCAGAACAGTACCTATATAAATTTTATGGTTATACACTGAAAACTTAAATTGATAATAATTTCTTAGCTCATTCTAGAAAGCATCTGAGGTGGCTACAGTCGTGGCTCAATCACAGTTACTAGTAAATAATTTGAGTTTGCGTTAACAATCTGGAGTCAAACAATTCAGAATTTTATTTGGGGTATTCAACTAAATTTTCAGATTTCATGAGCTTAAATATGTAATTTGAACCACTCAAGGATATTGATTAAGTAAAAAGGAATGGACGAGGTCTCCACAGCTGTCTTCAGGCAGAAGGATTTTCAGATTGTCCCCAACCTGGATATGCTTTGACTTTAGCAAAACTCACCCTTTTGATCGACCGCTATTTCAACACCTGGCTGTTCTGGGCGATATGCGGGGTGCTCTGGAGGGACAGCAGCACAGCGCAGGAAATGTGATGAGCACACGAAACATGGAACAACATGGAATCAGGGGGCTGCAAGGAATTCATGGGTAAACTGTATAGTCAGTTAGGCCAAAAGGTACTTAACTCTTGAGACAGCGGAAATGAAAACATAAGCGGTGACGTCTGTGGCATAGGTCTTGGTGATGGCTCCAGTCCTCAATAAAGCCTTCCTCGCCGCCGTCAGTGTCAGAGCAATTATTTTTCTTCAACATACCTAACATTTTAGCATTACATTTATTTCCTTTATTTTATACCCAGGATCTGTCTAAAAACGACTGATTTTATTAATTCCTCATTAAGTTTGCAGATCCAGAGCACTGCAGCTTCTAATTATCCTTAGTGATGGCTCAACGCCTTCCTACCTGGTCAGGGAAACTGGAATTAGTCGGGGACACGTCAATCAGGGTCGGCCCTGAACCTCAGGAAGTCGCCTTTAGTCGGAGCCACACTGTTATGAAAAGTAAGCGTCCCCTCCCTCCTCCATGCCCTCCCTGCCCTCCACTTTGGAAGTGATGAGAAACATGAGCTTTCTTTTTTAAATCAAATGGAGTCTTTTGAAACGGGCTGCTGTGTTTCCTTTCAATTTCAAGCAAGATTTATTTTATTTAAAAAAAATTTTTTTTTAAGCCACACTGAGTGGGGACAGCTGGTTAGTCTCAGGAAGCGTTTTGGGAATAGGGCGACACAGACAGCACTACGGGTGTTTTTCAATGACCTCTTTCCCCCACATCCACGCTCACCCACTCAAGGCCAGAGTAGCTGCCAGGATGGTTAACGGGCTGTCATTGTTAGCCTGCCTCCCAGCTCTTTGTACAGGACGGAAACAGACCTCCGGGGAGTTTGTTTGGAGAGTGTAGATTACATGTGTGGAGAGAAAGAGTGAAGGCCGCGCCTTTCTGGAAGGTTCTGGGTGTGATCAGTGGGCCTCCCTGTGGCTCGGGGGGTGGGGGGGGCCTGTGGTCCGGGCATCAGAGGCCAGATGTGAGCCGCAGCCGTTTGGAGAGTGTAGATTACATGTGTGGAGAGAAAGAGGGAAGGCCGCGCCTTTCTGGAAGGTTTTGGGTGTGATCAGTGGGCATCTGGCCCCATGCAGTGCCATTCCCGGGATCAATATCCCAGATGTTTTCCTGAAGAAACCAACCGGGTAGACTCCTGATTTTGATGCTTTTATTCCATCCCCATACTCTTGGGCATATATTTTGGCCTTTGGAGGACGCCTGCCCCTTGCTTGCTTGCTTTACACTTCAGAGGTCCTAAGTGTATTTTAACTGCTGCTCCCTGTCGGGGCTGGGGGTGGGAGAGGGAGTAGGACCCCATAAGGAGTGTCACAAAATCAATTTGTGGAGGGAATTGTTGTGTTTTGTGTTTTTAACACCTAGGACAGCGTAGAAATAACAAAGTTGAACAAGACCTATGGAAGCACCACAGCAAAGAACCCGGGACCCTTGAGTCTGCAGGCTGACGCTCTATCCACTGAGCCAAACCGGCCAGGGCTATTTTATTTTTTTACTTAGCAGGAAAAGCGTTGATTCTTCTTTTTCATTTGGTGACAATAATTTTCCTCTGTTTTTTTTCCCCCCCCTCCACTTGGAAAATGGATACCTCTGATCAAATCTGGTGGCTTCTAGGAAAGGAATAATTTAAACAAGTAACTTAAACCCAGAAGCCCTAAACTGTTTTGTACATGCATCGTTACATGGTTTTCTACCTTAAAATCCACCATTCTTTCCCTGCAGACAGAGAGCACAGCCCGGCGGGGTTTTAGGCCGATGATGCCAATCTGCCCGAGTGCCTCGGGGAGCGCTCACATCCGTCATCGCCTTACACCAAGCCCACCCACCTGATCTGTGCGAATAAGAACGGAAGCTGCTAACCTCTCTCCTCTTGGTCTTGCCCACTCCGTCACTCTCTCTTAAGCCAAGTTTTGGTCACATCTACAATACGAAAAACTATAAATATATAAAATCCAGATGAAAGAGGTCAACTATAATTACCTGTAGATAAGACCTGTTAACCTTGGTGACACACCCTTCCAGGGATTTCGGTTTTACTTTTTCAAAGACAATACAAGTTTCACAGGCTTTTGTTCACTTAAATAATATGCTATTGATAATCTTTGCTGCCATTACGAGACCTTCCCCTGGGCAGCCCTGTGAGGAGTGTCCCTGTGAGCACAGCTCTGAGCACACCCAGGCCCCTCCTCAGCACAGGGTCCTGGGAGCGATGGGTTACGGAGTTCGATGAGGTGGCCGATACTCATGCTACGGGTCCTCCTATGAGCCGATTCCCAGCACTCCGTCCACTCAAAATTAATAAAATAACTGGTGGCAGTATTTTAGGAACCATGCAGTTTATGCAATCCCATCGCTTTGTCTTTCATGTTTTTATTAGAGAGGATGGACATTCAATGTGTTTGCTGGGCACTGATATTTCTTCTTCCATTCATTTCCCTGGCTTCCTTTCTAATAGGGCATGTCTCTTTCTCTTATTAATACTAACTTGCGCCGATCTTTAATTTTGTGACTATTTTTCCTAATTTGTCATTTGCGTTTACTTAGTTATAACTTTAGGCAATGAAGGGAGAACCTCAGGATTGGGAGGCCAGTGTTAGAGCACTGACATGGCAGTATTTTAGGAACCATGCAGTTTATGCAATCCCATCGCTTTGTCTTTCATGTTTTTATTAGAGAGGATGGACATTCAATGTGTTTGCTGGGCACTGATATTTCTTTTCCCATTCATCTCCCTGGCTTCCTTTCTAACAGGCATGTCTCTTTCTCTTATTAATACTAATTTTCGCCGGTCTTTAATTTTGTGACTATTTTTCCTAATTTGTCATTTGCGTTTACTTAGTTATAACTTTAGGCAATGAAGGGAGGACCTCAGGATTGGGAGGCCAGTTAGTGAGCACTCACAGCACCGCGGTGCATGCTGGCCCCAGGGCACTGTTCATCTGGTCCCCCACACCCCTTGCTGAGATGGGGCTCCTGGTGTCCCTGTTGTGGGAAGGAGGAGGCTGGGGTCTGCAGAGGGAAGGAGGAGGCTGGGCCTGCGGAGGGAAGGAGGAGGCTGGGCCTGCAGAGGGAAGGAGGAGGCTGGGCCTGCAGAGGGAAGAGAAGGCTGGGCCTGCAGAGGGAGGAGGAGGCTGAGCCTGCAGAGGGAAGAGGAGGCTGGGCCTGCAGAGGGAAGGAGGAGGCTGGGCCTGCGGAGGGAAGGAGGCTGTGACTATAGGGCAGTTACAGAGCTGGGAGGTGGCGAGCCCGTGTCCTAACTTCTGAGCTGCCACCACCCCTTCCTGGTCCCTGCTTTCTCACTGTCATGCTCAGACAGGCACGACTGTAGCTATTAAAATAACAAGGCCAATGCGTATATCACCATCTAAGCAACACCTTCGTTGTATTCTCAGAACAGTGCGCACAACGAATCTGCTTTAAAAAGAACGTGTATTTATAGAGCAATAAAGAGGTCAGAGGCGATGCCCTTGAACCCTTGTTGTACGCAGGGCCCCGTGGGAGAGGAGCAATATTCACTTTCAATTTAGACGCATCTGTGTTTTAAAAGCCTTTTTATTAGACACATGCACTGCATCGATCTGAAGAGAAAGGTATTTCTGTTTTGGACGAGAAGGCTTGGCGGAGGCGCTGAAAATAGTTTTTCTTCTCTGCACCTCAGGAC